CATCCTCTGGGCCGTCGAGAAGGACGCCCACTCCATCACCGAGAACGATCCCAAGCTGCAGGCCAACCTCGCCGAGATCCAAGCCGCCATCCGCGAGGAGCGCGAGGCTGCCAACACCGGATCCTTCAAGATGATGTTCAAGAACGGCGACCAGAAGTTCTTCTACCGCACCATGCTGGGTATCGGCGGTCAGTTCATGCAGCAGCTGTCCGGTATCAACCTGATCACCTACTACGCTCCCGTCATCTTCCAGGAGTCCGTCGGCATGTCGCACAACCTCTCCCTCCTCCTCGCCGGCTTCAACGGCATCGCCTACTTCTTCTCCTCCCTCATCCCCATCTGGGTCATCGACCGCCTCGGCCGCCGCAAGCTCATGCTCTTCGCCGCCGCCGGCCAATGCGCCTGCATGGCCATCCTCGCTGGCACCGTCTCCAACGGCAGCGTCCCCGCGGGCATCGTCGCCATCGTCATGCTTTTCCTCTTCAACTTCTTCTTTGCCGTCGGCCTCCTCGCCATCCCCTGGCTGCTGCCCGCCGAGTACGCCCCGCTGGCCATCCGCACGCGCGCCGCCGCCCTCGCCACGGCCTCCAACTGGATCTTCACCTTCCTCGTCGTCGAGATCACGCCCGTCAGCATCAACAGCATCGGCTGGCGCACCTACGTCTACTTCTGCGTCTTCAACTTCTTCTTCATCCCCCTCATCTGGTTCTTCTACCCCGAGACGCAGAACCTCAGCCTCGAGCAGATCGACCGTCTCTTCACCGGCGGAAAGGTGCAGCTGCACTGGAAGGCGAGCATGGGCACCCCCGGCGATGCGACGCACGGTGTCGTCGAGAAGGACTCCGAGTCTGGCTCCGGAGAGCTTCGTGTGGAGAATAAGGAATTCGGCCAGTAGTTGGTTGGCTCCGTCAAAGTTGGGGGAAGAGCTATTTGTGCTCTTGTTTAGGGGTTGTATATGGGGGAAGCTTATGATATCCAACGGTCACGTACCGTAACGTCGTGCAAAGGGCGAATCGTTTTACATTGAAGGTGCAGACTGATAACTGTGATAATACAAATGGTCATGATCGTCTGCCCACTCACAACTTGCTGTCAACCCACACTGGCTTCCTTTTCTCAACGAAGCTCTTGACTCCCTCCGTCATATTTTCTGCAGCCTCCATCTTCCGGTAGATGGTACGATCGACCAACCCCGTAGCATCCTCCGGTCCCAGTGCCTCCCATCCGCTCTTCAGTCCCTCCCGGGACACAATCACCGAGTCCGGGGAATTATTGGCAATGGCCTCGGCAGCAGCCAACGCCGTGTCCAACAACCTGTCCGGCTCCACGACCTGGTTCACTAGACCCCATGAGAGCATCTGCTCAGGTGTATAGTCCGACCTTCCAATCAATGCCATCTCCGTCGCACGTTGCCTACCCACCGCCTTGATGAGCCTAGGCAGCGCGCCCGCGATAGCCACCACCCCAATCGTGACCTCCGGGAGCCCGAACTTGGCTTTGGTAGAGGCATACACCAGATCCGCGTTGATGATCATCTCCATCCCTCCGCCGAGACACAGCCCGTTGACGGCCGCGATGACGGGCTTCTTGCCGCCCCTGTTGCTCAAGCCGCCGAAGCCAGCTGACGACGGCCACTTTTCACCAGGCTTGGCATCGGGTTGCGAGGACGTGACGACAGGGGCTGGGGAGGCCGTGGCTGTTGCTGCGAGGGCGCCGCCCGAGCCGGTGCTGACGGACGACGGGGTGGGCGACTTGCCGGAGGTGTTGCGGACGTTCCATTCCTTCAGGTCGGCGCCGGCGCAGAAGGCACGGCCGGTACCGGTGAGGACGGCGCATCGGAGGGACGGTTCGGCGTCGTACCACTCGTAGAGCTTGGAGAGGGCGTAGTGCTGCGGCGAGGGGATGGAGTTGAGATGCCGGGGCCGGTTGAGGGTGATCTGGAGAATGTGGGGGCGGGGGAAGGTGATGTCCGTGTCGGGAACGGGAGGAGGAGGAGACTTGAGAGAAGCCATTGTGGTGATGCACGGATGTTGTTGTTGGTGCTGTGGCGGACTTCAAGGAGGAGTACACAGCTTTGGGAGGGCCCTTCAAGTGTCTAAAAGCTGTATTTTCACGACTAAGAGGCCTGGCGGTATCAATTGAGGGTTTTGGAAAGTGGCAATGGTGAAAATTGGTGAGTGCCGGTAAAGATTGTTGAGGGAGGTGAGGTTGGGGGCGGTCCGGGGTAAAGAGATGATGTGTTGCAGGGGCAATTGGCGATTTGCCTCGGCTTGTTAGTGTAATCGGGATCGATTTCCGTGCGGGGCACACCGAGCTCGGTGTGTCTCGGTAAGCCGATCCACGCCGCGGCTTGACATTTGAAGTTTTGAACACTCCCCCTTCGACTATTATTTACTTGATAAACTTGGCTTATCCCTTTCAAGAGCCTTCATTCCAAGAGCTTTTCCCATGGCAAACTCTACCACGGTGCGCAGATCTCTGCTTTCCGAAAGTATTATCAGCGATTAGACCCCTCAAGCGCGCGATAGTAGGTGCTAAGAATAACCTTCAGCCATTATTTGAAGTGACGCGGGAAAGTTAAAGGCGCAGAGCCAGATGGAAAGAGGAAGAGGAAGGAGGGCATGCGTGAGGGCTACAGCCGACATGTAATTGCTTCAGCAATTACGATCCATTTTCTTTTTTTCTTTCTTTTTCAGTGTTTCATGTACAAGTACAACGTTAGCGTTTATAATCCATGCGTGTTTTTTTTTTTTTTTTTTTTTTTTTTTTGCCATTTGCTTCTAAACATTTCGAATGCAGCCACAGCCAGACATCAAATTCATCCCCTAGTTCTCGATACTTGCTTACGGTTCTTGGAAAGTATGAAGCCCCGCTCACCACCATGATCTACCCCGAGTCACCTCGCCAACTATACTTCTGCTAGTCTTATTCATGTATCCTCCCGGCAAGACTTCCTTACATCAACAAGATACTCAATAGCTGAGGGGCGAGTCATACGCAGTCCATAATGGCAACCGGAATCAACACGTTAGCTGCGTACTGTCAGTTCATACTAGAGACGGTAGATAAATCGCTGTTCCGGTATGAAGATGTGGACCCAAGAGAGGCCGACTTCTTTTCCCGCTTCTCTGAGATCGAAGTTGAGGACGAAGACATCAAGTAAGCATATGAACCAATCGCCGGTAACAATTGATCTCTAATTCAACCCTAGAATAGACGATGCGGCCAATCTTCCTACAACAGATGCCGCAGCCCGTCTAGTGGTCGCATGCCGCAAGCGCTTCTTCCCAATGGACGAGGAAATCTCTCACACCTTCGGGTTCAAGTTCTTCGCTAAAGGAGCCGATCGAGCGCGACTCTTTCGTGTCTACTGCCACATCGTCCCCAACGGCATCACAGACGAACAGCTTCGAAAGGCATGCGAGGACGACAACCTACAGGAGCTCCTGATATCGAGCTGCAATAAGACGGGCCTGGCTGACGATGCCGCTTGGCTCAAAGGTCTCCAAGGCTTCGGTACCAATTCGCAATGTCATGTTTTTGGGAATATTTTCTGTGACGTGGCGAGCAAGTGGTGTCCTCCCCAACTCTGCGACACCATCATGCCGGATATTCGTCCTCTCGCGAAGCGCCAAGCCTTTGTGTTTTGGACACAGATGAAGCTTGGCCTGATTCCCAGCGTGGACGAGGACAATTGGATTGACCTTGGATTCTGTACGGCTCCCAACTGGCAGAGCTTGTTGCACATGCGGCGCGCCTACCGGAAGCTTCTCCACGAGACATGTCTCGATGAGTTCTGGAGGGCCATAACGCACTCCACTATCCCATTCTTGTTCGAAAAGCATGGCCTGTCCAACGAAATTGCTGGACTTCGCAACTTCAGAGGTCTAATGAAAGTCGTCGGGCAAAGTTATGAAAGTGTCTGGCAACTTAAGAGGTACGCTCAATGGGAGGGGACTGGACCGGTTTCTGCTGTTGCCGTCGACTACGGGTTCATGAACTGCAAGACGCCGAGACAGCGCCAGCGTCTCCGCCAGCTGTATGCTGATTACTTCGCCAAAGGGAGGGACGAAATGAAGTTGCATCAAGCATGTATTCGCGGCGATTTGGCCTCTTTTCTCCGAGAAGCTTTGGATGGACTTCCGGTACCCGATCAGCTGCTTACCAACGCGTATCCTGTGGAGCCTCTGGATCTGATGGGTATGATCACCGTTGGAAAGACCATCTTTGCGCCGCCGTCAGTCCACAATGAAGCTGAAATTGTTGCTCGCGCAGAAGGCAATGGTGCCAGAGTTGTTCCCATACTGGAAAGCCATACGGATAGTATGCGTGGTATAATGGAGGACATGGTAGCGTCATTACATGATTGCACTTACAGTTAGGATATCGACATTTATGTCTGACCCATGGTTTGACCACTGCAGGGTTGTTTTGAAATAACGATCGATAGTCTTAGGACGGGTTCAACCACATAGTCAAAGAACCAGTTGATGCAACCTCGTGGGTTTCAATACTCATCATCCTCACGTCTGTTATGTTATCATTCATCCAGGTTTATGTTGAGCTTATTAAATCAATCGCGATTGGAGTATATGCAAGCCGCCTTTTACATCTCTATGAAAACATCCGTCGTCCCTTCACATCACCTAAACTGCGCTGCAAAGTGCCCCACGTATCCTGCATACGTGGGCTCATGTTATCTTTACTCGAAAGTACAAGATAAATGACCCGAATGCGTCGACCATCCTCGCCTGCGATGTCTCCATCCAGTGCTATGAGTATCTGTACGGTGCCACTCGGTGAAAGCGCTGAATGGAAGCTGCAATCGGGCATGTTCTCTGTGCTGTTGCTCTGCACCTCGAATTTGCGGAGCCAATCATCAACGTTGTGATCCGCGAACTTGGGATCAAGAACCTCACAGTTCCACTTTAAGTTCCCCTCGCTTTGATTCACTGAGAGAAAGACGAGAAACCTCTCATTTCGATAGTTGATTCTCAGTATCAAGCCTCCAAAAGCATGTGTCAGGGCTGAACGAAAGCCAACTGTGCTATACACTGGCCTCGATACGTGCGATGTGGGTGTCTGCTTATGCTGAGGTACCAAGCAGTCGACTGAGGTAATCATTTGCCTGTTTATATCTGTGGAAAATGATTCATCGAGGATGTTGATGTGAAAGCCATACTCAAACAGATGGCGATACGGCCATGGCATGAGATCCTCTGTATTCCTCGAAATCTTGTATAGAAGGTACATTTCCTTAGTCTCGCATACCATAGATCGGTGTACGGGAAATGGGCGACTAGGGAACGGGCATCTTCGGTAAATGTGGCCTTCTTCCATTAGAGGCAGGCACATCATTCGTTTGTGCTCCGGGTCCGCATCATCTGTGCTAATGACGGACAGCATGGCGCAGAGACAGTTGACTGCAGCTACCACAGGAAGCTTGATGCGCAATCCGACATTAGTGACTTGATATGGCGCGCTCTCAAAGTTTCTGTGCGTGGCCACGAAAGAGCCTGAATTTGAAAAGACTGATGGAGATGGGGCCAGAACGCTCTGCCATTGATCAGGCGTCTTGTCTGCATCCCAAGTCCAGCAGAAAATGGTGTGGTCGTCGGCGGACTTGATGATTTCCTCTTGCAGCCGTAGAAAAGCCCGCGAACCCTCTCCGTACAACAGCGGCATGTTGATGTCGAAGATGCCGAGCAGGCAATAAGCCATGTCTTCAGGTCGCGTTGTTTGTCGATTGGATGCCCAGCTCATACGTGCGGCAATGCTTGCCGACCAGAGTCTTCTAGTGTCGGTGAGGTAACTAACGTCGATGCCGGTGATCTTTGAGATTTTGAACATTAGTTCAGATTTGGTGCCGATCTCTGTCCATTCCTTGGTGAAGAAAAAGACTTTCCGGGGAGCTAACAACTCCTGTAAAGTCCACCCTCGTGTAAACCATCGACTTGAGCCAAAGCTTGAGTATTGGTTGGTGTGAATCTTATGAATGAGATCATCCTCCCACTCAACATCAGCCATGTATACAATACAGACGGTAGCCCGTTCGTACCACGCAAACATAGAGTTGATCGCCTCGGAAAGCTCAGCGCTGCTCGATTTGTCGATACAGATAGTGTCTACCCAGAGGTAACGCAGCTTGTCATCCCGTGTTTTTGAGCAAGCATTGATGATCTTCAGGTACCCATCCTTCTCCAGATACTCAGGTGAGGGGTTGCCGAAATTTGTGATCCATTCTTGGAAGCTGGTCTCGTCGCGGCCCCATGTATGAGATAGAATGGCGTATCTTGGAACTTGATCTCCTGCATTGAATGTTTCAATCTCAAGAGTATGCACATTAATCAACTTCATCACTTCTGGACGCTCAGCTGGCGGTGAGTTGAAGTTGGTTAGCTGCTGATGGCCCCACAGATGCAGACCAGTGTTGCTCCTCATTCGTGGGCTGAAGTTACTACGACAGTGTGTAAAGCCCTGGACACGGTGGTTACTGAGGCGTTCACTAGTAATTGACCACCTGGCTTAGCTGAGTGTCTGGCTACCTCATAATCCGATGCCATGTGTATGTAGTCCGCAAGAGCCTACAATGCGTTATGAGGTTGGTCTTTCTTGGTAATCATCACTCAAAACACAGTTTGGCATTGAGAAGCGGTATATCGGCCTTGATGCTTCGATTCAACTGCAAAAGCTCTTCTAATTCCTAAGACAACAGTCACACCTTTTCGCTCGCAATAGTGGTATCATCCAACAAAATCCAAATCGTCAACTCCTCAGACATATGACCCCTCCATCAACTTCAAAGCTTCGGGCTATGCAGGCCCTTCGAAGTACCAGTTACAGCCTCCTCATCAAAGTCTTGGCTGTTGCTGTCGTACGCTACTCGGATGTCGTCAATCTCCTCGCCAACCTCCATCCACCTGTCGCTGGTCGCGGGAACCGGGAAAATCTTACACAGACCCCAGTACATGCCACTTGAAACGATGAAGCCAGCGAAGAAGTTGATGTTGTAGATGTATTTGGCACCAACAGGAACATCGCGCCCAATCTCTCCAGCAAAACCAACAACGTTGATGAGAATTCCACCAATGTAGGCGGCATAAGCGCGCCAGTTGATGCCCCAGGTGTAGAAGTAAGGCCCAGCCTTGCGAGCATCGTAGAGCTCCTTGATCTCGAGGTAGCCCTTTCGAACGAAGTAGTAATCGGAGCACATGACGCCGGCAATGGAGCTGAGGAAAACGCTGTATGCCGAGAGGTAGGTTGTAAACTTGTTCGAGTCGGTGAGTAGGGTGTAAGGGCACATGGCCAGACCGACAGCAGCACAGATGTATCCACCGCGGCGGATGCTGAGGTAGCGGGGCAAAAGGGCCGTCATATCGGTTCCTGCAGAGACCGAGTTCGCCGCAATGTTCGTACCGAGTTGAGCCAAAGCGAAGGAACTCGCGATGACGAAAACACCGAATCTTTGGCCGGAACCACCGTCGTCGATGAATCTTTCAAGGAGAGATAGCGGGTTCCAGATGGGTTCGTCCAAGTTGTAGATGACCGTCGATGAGGACGAGACGATGATGCCGATGAAGGAAGTGAAGGCAAATCCAGTAGGAATCGTGACAAGCTGAGACCACAAAGCGTCGCGGGGTTTCCTAGCGAAACGGGAGAAATCGGGATCGTTAACAATGAGCGTCGCGAAGTTGGCGATGGAGGACATGACGCCCTTGACAAACTCCCAGGCAAGGTCACTGCCTTGGAGTTTTGCAGGCTGGCGGATGATGGGGCCAACACCACCGGCGCGCACAACGGCCCAGATCAAGAACGCAATGCCGGCACAGGGAGCCACGTAAGACTTGACGGTGAAAAGATGGCGAATCTTGTGGACAGGGAACCAAATGGCTGGCAAAGAACAGAACCAGAAAATGAAGAAGGAGACGTATTCCGCGGTCGAAGTACCGGAGTCTGCTGGGAAGCCTCCAGGGTTAATCGTTTCGCGATCCTAGAGACAATTAGCTGGCCTGCTGCGAAGACGTCTCTGTTTTGACTCCCACTCACCCAAGATTTCCAAATCGAACGGATCATAAGGTAAACACAGTTGCCTCCGATGTAAGCTTGAACACCGTACCAGATGCAGGCTAGCAGCAGGGTGGTTAGCAAGAAGGCCCCGCGCTCATGATTCGACCAACTCACCCATCGCAGCTCTGTTGAAAACTGGCCACAAACTGCCCCAGATGCCGAAAGATGATCTGTTGACAACGGGGAAACCGATGTGGTAGACAGCACCGATGCGACCAGTCAAGCAAATGAAGGCACCAGCAATCGCATATCCCAGCCAAACGCATAGCCAGGACTGCCACCATGAAAGACCACCTACAACCATGGAAGACGAAATCATCCATGTGTTGACGTTGAAGGAGTCAGCGACCCAGAATGCCACAAAGTTCCACGGACCCCATTGCCGTCTTTCGGGTTCGACACTGTCCACCTGTCAGCAAGATGTCCAGGGTGTTGATATAAGCGGTTTTGCCGCTGTCGCCGACTACTCACGGTTTGAGATCGTGGTTCGTCAGCTAAATGGACGCATCCGTTAGTCTCAGTTCGGCACGCGAAGCGGTTTCTCGAGGTGGTAGGTATGCCATACCATCAGCTGCGCCTTGGTCAAGCCAGGCTCCGACTCAACGGCCAGCTTATCAGCCCAATATCTGAACTTGGAGCCATGGACCTTTTCAGGCCGCGCGCTCGTGGTCGCAGTATCGATATCCATCGTGTCGATCTCGGGAGCTTGACGGGCGCGTAGACGTCGAAAGAATTCGAAAATGCGTACGGTTCTCTCAAAGATTCAAGAATGACCACAAGGGCCGGAAGACAGCCTTTCAAAGACCGGGATGCGGTTCGTCACACGTTGCGATGACGCTATGCACGTCAAGGTGGTAGGCGAAAAGTCGGGTCTCAGGGTCTCAAAGGCTGTGATCTGCAACGTGCTGCACCCTAAAAGTGGCGATTCCAAGGCAGAGGGTTGAAGAAAAGGCCCAGGCTGGATCTCATCTGTATATGGGAAACAGAACACGCGAGGATGTCGCCTGATATTTATTTTGTGTCCGCAGGCCCGGTGTCGCTGTTGGACTGGGGAGTTTGATAACGGTCTTGGCCCAGAACGCAGACGAGTCTGTCGTAACTTTGGCCAGGGCCATCGACTGATGGCCCCGGAAATCGCAGCGACGCCCCCCACATGGACAAGCTCTTTTTCGCTCGGATTGCATTCCTGTCCCGCTGGGGAGACGACCATTGGGGAAAAGTCATGACATGGGATACCAACAGACGCAGGCAAGACAAGCTACGGACCGCATTCGGGCAAGGGTGCTGCCGGTCACGCCGTGATTGCAGCAAATTGGAGAGCGCCGAGCTCGACAACGACGTCAAATCTGATCGAGTAAGAGCCCAGAGGCCTGTACCAGAAACCCGAAAATCATGTCTTCTTGGAAGGATTGGACAGCTGCCATTGGCCAGCCCGAGGAGAGGTCTTATCAGGGGCGTTGGAGACTGGGGGAGGTGGCGCTCGTAGCACAGCGACGAAGAACGGTTCCCGCTCAGCACAGATGCACCATGATGCCTGCTCGGCATGGGACGGTGCGGCTATGTATGATAAGTTAGCCTGTCTGGCAGGGGTAGCTTATCGTTGGCTCCAAAACCCCGCATGCTGGCAAAAATCATTACTCGATCTCATCGAGTCAACCAACTGACGGGAGTGACAAACGGCTAGATTTGGGTCGCCTCGTGCATCTCGGGACTTGCTGGAACAGAAATCAGCTAACGATGCGGAAGATTTTTTCACGAACTTGGGGCCGCGCATCGGTTCTCGGCCCTATTGTCGCTGCCTTTGTTCACCCTCGCCAGCACATGAAGTTCTCTTCGCTGGTGACTGGAGACAGAGGAGCAGTAGGTTACAGGAGCACAGTCAGCGTGTCGTCAGTCTGGAGAAGGGACCCTCAATGAAGCTGGGTATTTGACGTCAAAAAAGTATTGCGTGCTCTCGTAAGGATATTGAAGTTCCATCTGTCAAATCTGCACGATGTATCTTGCCGCAAGCACCAGTCGTTCGGATACGATTGACAACCAATTTCCAACTATCAATCAAGCACTTCTCGGAACCTTCTGCCGCCCAAACTCTGGCGCTGCAGCCACACCGGTACTTCTTCGTCTTGTCTCGTGTCCTCTGATAAGATGATCTGTTGGTAGATGCCACACCAAGATAAGGGGTTGCCCAAAGGGAGACCCCTGGGTCCCACTACCTTCGCGTGGCTGGGGATCTCCCCCGTCGGATCGACACCATCAGTACGTTCCACTTATCTCCAGGCATCCCCAATTTCTTCCCATACCCAGGCACTCGACCACTTGAACCCCCATTCCAAGGGAGCATCAGCCGATCAATCATGGTGCCGCGCGCCCACGGGAGCCGGGCAAGGTTACCTGATTTCCGGCCTTTTGGGTGGTCGTCCCCCGACGATGCTGCTAGCTAGCACGCGTGATAAGCCGTGGCCGCCGGCGCATGTTCAGCCTCTGCGGCTAAAGGACAACCACACCAACTTCCACCAGCCGCGTGTCTTTGACAATAATTTCTTCACCATCGGCAGATTGTGGCTTAAGGAGCACGAGAGTACAGAGAGTACAGAGTGTCGGTCTCCAACAATGTGTATCGAACGTGTACGGCAGTACATGTGGAAAGCACCTATGTAGAGCGTTAAGCACACAACATGGTTCACCCTGATAAGAGACATGCGGGTGCGCGCCGCCGGCCGTACCAGCAAGGTTCGAGGCCGGAAATGTCAAAATTCGCCTACGCCACATTGCCTCACTGTGGCTGTTGATAACGTTCTGGTCGAGTTCTAGACTAATCGGCACCTCGTCCAGCGGCATAATTTAGGAAAGCGTCCATCGGGTTTATTTTGTCCCTCGTTGCTTATGCTTCCTTCTTGCGCTACAGTATTACATGCCACCATTGCCATGGCTCTGCTGATGCTGCGATTTGCAAGCTAAGAGACATATCCAGACCAGTTGTTAGATGCTCCTATCTGTCAGGCTGCTCTTTGGAATGCCCTAGATGAGTTCGAAGAGACTCGCAAGATCGTTCCTCAATTATCGAGTTTCTACTATTCTGTGGTTGAACATTGCAATCCCTGAAAGATATTATTAATATAGCAAATGTCACTGCGAAGGCCCTATGTTGGTACTTGGGCTAGTATGCTTTATTCTCTACTGAAACTACTTTCCACACATGCATATGGATCTTAATATCGGGGCGGGTGGTATGACAGGATAACGGTGACGATGACTTTTAAAGACAAGATAAGGAGCAGTGATAATAATGACAACGACGACGATAATGATGAAGACGGAGACAATGAAGACGGAGACAATGAAGACGGAGACAATGAAGACGGAGACGATGAAGA